TCGCAACTGCTAGCAGACTGAAGCTTTCCCTTCCAGTCCCACTGACAAACGTAACCATCAGGAGAATTCCCCAAGAGCAGGCGGCTAGAGAAAAACAATAAAGGCAGCACTGTCCCCGTGAGGGAAGAGAAAAGCTGGATCTGCACTAAATGAACCGAGACGCCCCCAGGGGCACCAGAGATTTTCAGAAAGAAAATACAGCCCCAGTGCGTCACAACGGTGGGCCCCTCCGTCCTGCTCCTAAAGCCTGGAGACGCCATGGCGGGCGTGAGAACACGAACAACAGGGGTGAAGGACGAGAAAAGCATCACCACGGGACCCCCCAATCTACAGCTTTCTTTTTGCTTTTGTGATTTCCCAAAATCCCACTGCCAAATATGTACTACCTGTAGAGTAAGAAAAAAGAAGTAATAAAAAATGTAATGAAACCAAGGAAAGAAATGAAAGACCGAGTACTTGGCTCAAGCTGGCGGCTCACCCTGCAACAGCACAGGGCACATGGGGCCGGGCGTGCTCTGCAGCGACCCAGGAGGCCGGGGTCACAGGAGCACCAAGCAAACTGTCGTGTTCTAGAAATTATACCTTAGACATGTGATGGTACGTTCTGAAACACTGTTTTAGTAATTTTTAATGACTTGAACAAATACACGATATTATGTGTAGTGGGTTGAACTGTGTCCCCCAAAAAAGATACGTCCAAGTCCTAACCCCTGCCACCTGTGAAGCTCACTCTGTGGAAATGGGCTCTCTGCAGATGCTCCTGAGTGAAGGAGATGAGAGCATCCTGGATTGAGGCTGGGCCCTGAGCGCCATGACCGGTGTCCGCGGGAGATGCGAGGCACAGCGACACATGGGGGAGAAGGCCGGATGAAGACGGAAGCGGATACAGGAGTGACGTGTCCACAAGCCAAGAAATGCCAGGACTGCTGGCAGCCACAGAAGCGAGGAGAGAGGCACAGAACAAACTCCCCCGCAGAGCCTGGGGCAGGAACCAACCCGGCTGCACGCCGACTCTGGACTTCTCTCCTCCAGAACTGGCAGAGGATGAATTCCTTCTGTTTAAGCCATCTCGTTTGCGGCCACTTATGGGAGCTGCAGGAAGTTACTAGACCATGGCAATAAAGGCAGCTTATGGAACTGTTGACAGGATGGTTTCAATTATGTAAACAAGACGGACAATGGGTGCGTAAGACTTTTATAAAGGGAGAGAAAGTTCTTAAACAGACTCAAGCAACTTACCCTCTTACCACTGACAATGAGCTGACAGCCAAACCTTGCTGCCATGTCGCAGTTCTTTCTATTTTTAGTTCTTTATTTTAGATTGGCCCTGAGCTGACATCTGTTGCCAATCTTCTTTTTTCTTCGTCTTCTCCCCAAAGCCCCCCGGTACCTAGTTGTACACTCTAGTTGTGGTCCCTCTGGTTGTGACATGTGGGACGCCGCCTCAGCATGGCCTGATAAGTGGTGCCATGTCCATGCCCAAGATTCAATAACAGCGAAACCCTGGGCTGCTGAAGTGGAGTGCGTGAACTTAACCACTCGGCCACCGGCCGGCCCCCACAGTTCTCACTCTTACCAGACATTTGGTCTTCAAAATAACCTGGGGAGATGCAGAATGGGGAACCTTATTCCAATTTTATAAATGAGCAACTGGAGCCGGAGTGTCATCAGTGGCCTGAGTGGGTGGCTGCGTCGGAGTAAGAATTTGGGCCTCACAGCGCTTCTCATCAGCTCCCATCTATTTGGCTTTTTACTTTGTGCTACAGGCTGAACCATGTTGTCCTACAAATTCATATGTTGAAGTTCCCACCCTCAGCACGCCAAGGGTTAGCCGTATCTGAAGTCAGGTCTTTAGAAGGCGGTTAAGCTAAAATGAGCCTGTTGGGGTGGTCCTGACCGGTGCCTGATAATAAGAGGAAATTTGGACCCAGAGAGACATCAGACACCTGCAGGCACAGAGCAAGGACCACACGAGGACACGGAAGAAGTGACCATCCACAGGCCAAGGAGAGAGGCCTCAGAAGAAAGCAGACTGGCCACGCCTTGATCTTGGACTTCCAGCCTCCAGAACGGTGAAAAAGTAAACGTCTGCAGTCTAAGCCAGGCAGTCTGGGGTGCTGTGTGATGGCAGCCCGAGCCGACGACACGAGGAAGGCTGAACATAGCCTTTGCGCCTCTCTCCTTCTCCTCCGGCATCCTCCCTGGGCTCAAGCAGGAGGCAGGAACGTCCCCACTACAGCTTCTCCTGCTCAGGGAGGTTGTCTCTAGACTAACACAATCGAGCCTTTTGGCAAATCTGTCTTCTGCACAATGTCCACCGAGCCCGGTGGGTCGGGGAGTGGCCAAGCAGCATTCAGTAGTGGTACCAGCCTCTGTGGTTTCTCATTTAAGTCCACAGGCCGCCACCGTGGGGGCCGGGCGAGGGGGGCACCCATGCTTGCGTTTCCATCGGGGCCAGGGGATGCCTTGTGACTGTTAGATGGGTGAGCAAGGCTGTGGGAGGCAGGGCGTGGTGACCGGGCCAGAGTCCCTAGAAGAGAAAGGGGTTCGGATACTGGTGCCGCCACGCCTGTGTGACCCCAGGCAAACTCTACTCCAGGCTGAGATTGGGCTCCTCACCTGCGCAGTGCAGCTAACGCCACCTCACTGGTGGCTAGGAATCTGCAGGGTCAAGGATTTAACATCATGCCCACCACACAGCAGGTGCTTAATAAATGCTTCTTATGTGCATTAACGACAGGTTACACCAATTTGGCTCCTTTTCCAACTGCACTTAAATCCCACCGGAGTGGTGTGGCCCTTTGTGCCCTGGGGTTACATGAGCCCAGGGGCTGGGTTTCTGTGTGAGTGCACAGTGTCTTAAAAGATTTTGAATTTTTTTCTTCCAGCTATTAAACATCAAGAGCTTTCACACAAAAATTCCAACCAGAGCCCTTCTGCTAAGGACAGAAGAGGAGGCAACACAGTATGGGCTTTCACCACAGCGCCTGGCTGGGGCCGAGCTGGGGCTTCCTCCTCACGGAGTGCGTGCCCTCCACTGTGCACGGTCCCGCCTGGCCAGCGACACCACCACCCACCTGCCTGGTCCCTTGGAGACATCGGTACGTGCGACTCAAGGCGCCAAGAGCAGAGGTGGGAAGCAGAGAGCGGGCTGAGCACGCACTGTGGGTCGACTCAGTGAGTCCTTGCAGCCCTGTGTAACCAACATTCAGTCAACGAGGAGCCAGGTTTAGAGTGGGCAGGTGACCAGGCTGTATTACTGGAATGCCACCTCAAGAGCTGTTAGGCTGGACGCGACTGCAATCACAGACAGACAGAGCATCACCCGGAGACGCAAACGGACGCACTGCCTGTGTCTAGCTCTGCGGCAGCTCACCTCACCAATCCAGGGGGGACGTCCAAACGAAGTCTAGACTGCAGCCCACACTTTCATCAGGCAACACCACCAGAGAGGCCACGAACCAGGTGTGAGCCTCGGGCACTGCTGTGCAGAGCGGCCTGACAGGAGGCCACGGGGCTGCAGCGTGTGGGCACCGCGTGCGCAGCCCCGAACCCCGGTGGCTGTCCCCAGGGCAAGGGAGGCGGCAGCTGGGGGTGGGCAACAGAGGCTTCTTTTCTCAGAAAACAGAACAAACTAGGCGTGCACAACCTCTCTGAGATTCAGGAGAGGGCCCCATCGTACGGCCTTTTAAAAAATCAGTGATGCTGCAGTTTCACAGAGCAGATCAATACTGCAGCTTAAATGAGATCCTACTGCCGTCAGAAACGCAGACGAGGCCGTGCCAAGCCACAGCCCGCCTCCCGGACTTCCCACGGCCAGACTGCTCACCGGCCCCGCTCCGATGGGGACGGGCTGAGCTGCCGTCTCCTGGGCCGGGACACCGGCTCCGTCCACCTGTTGTCACAGAAACCACCAGCTGAACTCCTTGCCTTCGTCTACACTGGTTAGCTGACACGCCCTCCTCCCCAATCCGTCTCCCTTTATTGACTGACTCCCCACCCTCAGCCCACCAAACTCCCGACCGCTTGAACCCGGGTGCCGCGTACCCCGAGGCCCATCAGGTGCGCCCTGGAGTCTGTCGGAGCTGCTCAAATTCTGTGCCTGCCAGAGCACCAGACCCCAGGCCTCAGGGCGGCTCCTCCGTTTCCTGGAGGGAGGCATCTGCTCCCGCATCCTCCCCAGCCTTCTAAGGCGCACATAACCTGACCCCGGCCTGCTCTTGACTTTGATCTCTGCTGTGCGCTCTGGGGAGTTTTTACAAAGCAAACGCCCGTGAACTTCCAGGGACGAGCGCGTAAATCACGCAGGTCCTCCCAGGCCTCCAGATGCTACAAGCACGACTCAGCCAGGATGGAAGGAAGGTGCACAGGGGCTCACTAAATAAACTCTACCCTGCCTGGGCCTCGCAGCCGGCCGCCGGCATCCTCACACCTACTGGCACCATCAGATCCACACACAGCCCAGGGCGCGAGGCCGCGTGAGTGACACACGTCTCCATAGAGGGCAGAGACTTCTCAAAAATACAGAGAAAGATTTTTAAAACTATATATATGTTATATTACATACTTTTAATTTTACAGATGTATATTCAACAGCACCCAGAATTTCACACTAGCTAGGATTTCGTCACTTTCCATTAATTCTTTTAAAAATTAATATTTTTCAGATAAAGCAAAGGTTTCCTCACGCAGCCCCTCTCAAATGCACTGTCTGCCCACTCCTCAGCCCACTGACTCCAGGTAATCATTTTCTTGAGTTTGTTTTGCAACCTCAAAGTCAGTTTTTACATACTTCCCTATTCATATTTATACCTAGAGTCACTATGTAGCATTGGTTTGTACGTGTTTTTAAAGTGCACACAAACCGTATTATTCCCAGCCTATCAGTGAACATCTTGCTCTTTTGTAAAACTCAAGTGCTGCATTACCAATGCCCATCTAGGGGGTTTGGAGTCTTTTCGTCATTAGAAACAGTGAGGACAATACCCTCCATCACGTACTTCCACACACGGCCAGATGTTCTCCAGCGTGCGGAGGGTCCTTGCTGCTCATGTTTGATTGGTCCTGTCTCCTGGAGGGTGAGCATCTTCTCCGAGGATCACAGTTGACTGGATTTCCTCTTCTGTGACCTGCCCAGGTCAGTGCTGGTTAAGAACGAACAAGCCGCAGTCAGAGGTAACGAGCACGGCTTTCCAAAGCAAACCAACCCCCTCCTCTGCTCATCCCGGCCTCTTCTTCGCTCGCTGCCAGAAGGAATGTAGTTACTTCTCCCCGGCATGGCGCTTACCCAGTAAGGGATGTGTCGTCTCCAAGGGCGGCCCCGAGGCTGTCACGCCGACCCCACTCCTGACACAGCCTTCAGGGCTGTAGCACCAGGAACCAGCCCGCGCCCGACTCCACAATTACAGAGCACCCCATCACTTCAGCCGGCCTCCCGCTGCCGGCTTCGCGGAGGAAGAGATCTTGTCATTCGTCTTTCCACGCTAGTTCTTCCTAATATCCATGCACAAAGGGCACTCCCAGCCCGCCCTTCACCCCTGTCTCCTCGAGACAATTTAAACACTGCCACGGAGGATCACCCAACTCCCAGACCAACAGAGATACCAGCTGCCTTCCTGCTGCTCTCTCGGAACTGGCAGCGTTGGGGGGTTTAGCGGAAAGGGCACAGGCTTGCATTCATCAGCTGTGTGACTACAGGTAAGTTACCTACCCTCTCTGAGCCTCAGACACCTTCCCAGTAAAGATGCGGATGGTTGTAAAAACTAAGAGAAAATACGCATGAAGTGATTGGAAGATACCAGGCACTCAATTCATGTCACCGGCGGCAACTCAAGAGTTCCTTGTTAAAAATCAATACGTCAAACGCAGATCAGCTCTGGAGAGACACGGAAGTAAAGCTGTGGACTGGAGCGAAGACACACGCCAAAGTCAGGACCATCTAGAATTAACTGACGCATTCTGTGAGCTGGAAATGAAGTCTTCACAGGGAAGGTGGGATGTTTAGCTGAGTCTGGCCCCACCGTGGGCACGTGGCAACGTCCTGGAGACACTGTTGGCTGTCACCTTGAGGGTGGGGGTGCTCCTGGTCTCTAGCAGTAGAGGTCAGATGCTGGCAGACCTCCTCAGCACACAGGACAGCCCTCCACAACGAAGAATTCGCCAGCCCAGAGTCCAGAGTGCTGAGATGGAGACACCTCATGCCGCGGGAGAGAGCAGGGAATCCTGCAGCAGGGAGCAGACGGGAGGGGGCCATCTCCCTGAGGTCATAGGGACATTTACCCGGCTCAAGCCACAAGCTCACGGACGATGGGTGGCGGGGAGAGGCAGGCAAGGTGTGCAAACAGGTACAGATGGTCCTGACTCCTATTGAGAGTAACAGCCTGAGGTCAGAGGCCAGCTCCCTGGAAGCCTGCTGGCTCACAGGCTGCACTCACAGAATCGGAGAGGGCAAACTGGAAAATGCCATCCCCTCCCAGGGTTCAACCTCCCACCAGCACGAGTCCTCTCTGTCGCCCAGCCATCCCCCACCCACCAGGATCACATCTTCCAACCGGCGCCATCTTCTGAGCCACAGGCAGTTTTTGAATAAGAAGGGTGAGGGCAGTCTGGTTGCAACATTTTGTCACCCCAATGAAATTATTAAGTACTAATTCATCTGATTCCCATTTTTTAATGAATCATGAGCAAAGGCAACTGCCAATGCAAAGCTCTGATGAGCAGGAGATAATGGATGTCGCTCTGACGCGGAAATGAGTCCAGCCAAGAGCAAGGAAATCGGGCGTTTCTACCTCAGAGTGAAAATGCCATGTAGGTCACCCCCATCAATCTGTTTACGGAACCCTAGGACTCTGAGGACCCCACTTTGGGAACCTCTGATTTGGTCCAGCCACTTCATTGTACAGAAGATGAACCTGAGATCTAGAGAAACTATCAATGAGCACTAACACTGATCTGGTCTTGTATCACGTCAGGCACTGTGCTAAGACCAGACACACTATCTCACCGATTCTCTCAGCCACCCAAGGAAGTAGGTACAATTATCCTCCTCAGTGACTTGCCCTTCAGAAAGATTAAGAAAGGTAAGAGGCGGGATGTGAGCCCAGGTCTCTGTGGTTGCACAGCCATGTCCTTGCCCACAAGGCAATGGTCCTCTTGCAGTGAGCAGCCAGCTCGTGGCACGGCCGACCGTGGACCCAACCTCGTCACCTTCAGTCAGGTACTCAGGCTAACGATGCTCAAAAGCAACAGCCTGAAGGGTGAGAGACAGCCGCCCGAGTTGTGGAGAGCCCAGGAAACACCACCCTCAACAGGCAGTCTGGCTTTTTTTTTTTAAGCATAATCACTTAAAATTATCTAACCTTAAAAAATAATAAGGCCGCCTGAGCTAGAGAAGTCTGTGAGTACAGACAAGATAGTCACTCATCGCTGGAGCAAATAAACTCGTACACGCTCACTCGGCTGCCCTCGCCCTCCTCTGGCGGCAGAGGACAGCTGCCTTAGTGGCATTTTGCAAGAAGTTGTCTAGGATTAAGGGGTGGAATTATTATTTATCCGTTCTAAATATGAGTCTTGCTAATTAGGTCATAACGGTACTCATTTATCATCTGACTTTGGAGCATATATTGTATCGATCTACAACGTTGTCCGTGGGCACAAGGCGCTTATTAATACTGGCTCAGCTCCAGCGAACTGTTCTCACAAACCTTAAACCCTCCCGGAAACCAATTCAGGTGTTCGGCTGCCTGCAGACGAGGGGCTTCCTGCAACGGGCGGTCTCCATTGGGGCTGCCTCCACTGGACGCTTTGCCTTCGGAATCTTCCCCCCTGATTTTGACCAGAGTCCCCAGATTGCACAGGATCTGCTAATTCTGGCAGGAGAAGTTGCAGGTAAAATGAACTCATGTGCTCATGTCATCAGAAGCTGGGTGGATAAACATGGACTTGTAGCTATCTGAACTGAATCCCGTACTTTAAAAGGTGTGGAGGTGGCCAAAGGGTACGGTATTTTGGCTGCAGCGGCAGAGGGCAGACCCGTTGTCCACAGACACAAACAGCGGGAGAAAGGGCACACCACAACTCTGTCCCCTGGTCAACCCCAGTTCAGGTCACTGCCCAGTGACGGTCGAGGCTTGGCACAGATGGTTTGGTTATGCTCCACGGACTCTTTCTAACGTTTACGCTGATTCTGACTCTGCCATTTCCTAGCTGTGAGGCTTCAGGGAACTTGGTGAGCCCCTCGCCATCAGCAGCCACGTGTGTGAAACAACAAGGCCCCTCTATGCTGCAGGGCCCACATGGAACCTACACAGAGAGTGCACAGGAGGCACCAGGGCCGCACACCTCCGTGTAATCCTAAAAACGGTCGGCTCTCACTGCCACTCACGCCCATGTAGGCAGACCACCACGGAGCGCAGGACTCAGTGTGCACCGGTTCACACGCACGGATGGCGGGCTGGGTAACGGGGAAGCAACCGCTCACCCTGGAGGGCTGGTACTGGAAAGCCTTTGCGAGTCAGACTTCTGGCCGTGTAGGTCCACGAGATGTAACTCTAAGAAACAACGCTGTGGTCGAGCGCTTTTGGGAAAGGCCAGATACTGCCTCCCCCACTTAGGGCTTTGTAACGTGCCCAAGAGCATCATCCAAAACTCGAAATAGTCCAAAGGCCAATGGACTTTTTTTTACTCAGTGTTTGCCATCCTTCTTGAATCACAGAACTTTCTAGGGCATGGGTGGGAGAGGGCATGAAAAAGCTGTCATTTTAGACACTAAGGTTAATGAAAAGACTCCGAATGGGAGGAGAAGGCAGGACGAAGGAATGGAAGGTCAGAATTATTACCAGCCCCCAACGGTGTCTGCCAGAAATGGCTACTGTCCCTGACCGTCCCAGACTCCACCTGCGAAAGGGCAAAAGCTGGTCAGAGGCATGGAACTGGAATGTGCAGCCCAACTTGTCCCAGGCATCTTCTTGGACTCCTGGCTTTGACCTGAGTGATCTGGTTACAAGAGCAAACCACAGCAAAACCTTGTGTTTGTTCAACCTTGCATTTAAATGCTTTGCATAGACAAGAGGAGAGGCTGCATCCCTGGGCCGAGGCAAAAGATGGTGGAAGCCTCGGCCATCCCAACTGTCCATCTAACTTCATCCTAGTTTTGCTGCATCTACAACAGGGAGGAAGAGAAAGAGGGAAAGAAGGGGGGCGGGGGATCAAAGAGAGGACTGAGAGTGAGGACTGCGGGAGAGAGAGGGACCAGGTGAGGAGAGTGGAGAGGGGACCATACGCAGAGAGAACTGGAAGACTAATTAGTGTTTCACCCCATTTAACACCCTCATGGTGCCAGGCAGCTGGTGCTCTCCTGGGTGCCTGGGACACCCGAGGTCCCACCACCAACTTGCCAACTCCACGCTCTCCTTCCTGCTCCAGGTCCAATGGCAGATTTTCCAGCCAGATGGGAGGTTCCAGTGTAACCGAATGAGCCCAGGAAGGAAGGGATGGGCGATTCCATTTCTCCATGAGGGTCAGGAGCAGATGGCCCGGGGTGCTGCTCCCGCTCCATTCCTACCATTCAGCTGACAGCCTGGGCTCACGCTCACAACATTTACACGGCTGCCTCCTCCACGGTCTGAGAAGGGGTCCCTCAAGAGCTCCCTGAACAAAAATATCTCACTTTCCACACTGCCATTAAGAGAAACGGTAAAATTCTCTCCCAGAGCACCACATCTTTGGATTAAGAAATCACTTCTTCAGACACGCCAACATTACAGACGCCACGGGGTGAGAATCTGTGATGGTGCAGCCTAAGACCTGATGGGAAAAACAGGATTCAGAGGACTCAGTCTTCACCAGGCCCCAGGAAAGTGCCTGTTAACATCGCTAGCTCGCGTACCCAGCAGCCACGCAGCACATCTAGGAGAGCGGCCGGGACGCTTCACCCCGCTGAGAGGGCAACGGTGCGGGCTGTGTAACGCATCGCGACTCATCGTCCCCTGCTCGCAGGGAACTCGTTGGGATGTCCCCCTCTCAGTTTCCACAAGATGCTGACATTTTAATTTTGCACTGTAGGAGGCAACGTGCGGACGAACACAATCTGTTTCGCAGTGTCTGGTTGTCCATCCAAATGCTTGGTGTCCTTCTGGTTTTGTCA